TGTACTTCATGGATGACAGCATCAGTGTACGGCATGTTTGGCCTGTCTGCCATGCTGGGCTGACGTGACCGTCCAATCACACTGTCTATCTCAGCCTGCACCTTCTCTAAAGACAGAGCAGGGTACACATAAACAAACTAAGCGAATGCTTCCACTGTAAACCATAATATCCCCTGACTCACTATGTGGTGTTCCCCCAAGAGGGCACACGTGAGAAATCACAAAACAAGAAAATGTCCCATCTCTTTCAACTTGAAAATTTAAATTCACCTAGAAAAAATGGGCCTCTCATCAATTAAAGGAAGAATACAATAGTAGAAAGTAGAGATGAAACGGGATGAAAATTTAATATCACAATTATAGTAACCAAAAGTATCACTGTTATCAGAATTATCGCGGTATTGTGAAAATGTGCTGAAAATCTTCAAAAAGTATTAATACATAAACTGCAATCATTTCACCAAGTTCTATATTGAAAAAAACAAATATAATTAGCACTTTGCAGCTTTAATTTGTATAAACATTAAAATAATAATATAACAAATACCCCTATGTAAACATATGAAAACCATATAATCTTTACTGGACTTCAGACATATAAGTGACATATAAATACAAATAATGCTGTCACATCATAGTTACGCTGCGAAATCCAAACAAAGGACGGAAACCAACTGGCTAAAATGTTCTGTTTCGAGAATATATAAATAGAAATGTACACGGAATTTATTCTTAGCAAATGGGCATTCACTAGCTCTAAGGCTCAGGCAAAAAAAGTGCCATCTCCACTAACCACCAACAATGTGTAGTGTTTTTACAAGAGTAAGTAACCCTAAAAGCTTCAGTTTATATTGTTGACAAACTATTAGCAAGTTAGACAGACATACCATGACATTTCTCCCCATTACAAAATTCCAACATTATGCATTGATCTAAAAGTTAACCTACCTGGCATTCACTATATGGGTGAATGGTTAGTGGGTGGTGGTTAGTGGTGGGCAGGGTTCCACTAACCTGTTAACAGCTAATTAGCAAAGCTCACTTTTTAGTTAGCGAATTAGTGTTTCCACTAACTTTGAAAACCGTCAGCAGACCAATTAGCAAAACTAAGTTTTGGGGAAGCTAACTGTAAAACACTTTTTTGCAAGTGAATAAAATTTAATGTTCAAAAATGTTTGTAAACCCTAAAATCATACATATTTTTTCCTGTCTGTTGAATTTTTCTGAAACAGTCTATCTGACATGTTGCTGGATGACTGCTTGTAAAGACAAGACGTGATTGGTCGATAACAGATTTAATGTAAGCTGGGCTAAATGTAAATGAATGAAGACAAAATCCATTAAAACTAGCCTGAACTAAGCAGAGAACTGGGACCTGTATCACGAAGCTGGATTTCTTGCTTAGCTAGATAAATTGTCAGATTTAAGGTACCCTAATTTAAATGGATCTTCATTCTCTTACATTTACTTTAAATCTGACAAGTTATCTGGCTAAACAAGAAATCCTGTTCTGTGATACAGACCACCTAGTTGTATTTTCCAAGGTTCCACAGCTAAATTCCTATAGTAAAAGTGGTTTATCGGTTTAGTGATAGTTCAGCAGATTAGCGGTTATCAAAGCTAACTTTTCGGTAAGCTATGCCCACCACTGGTGGTAGTAACAAAGATTTAAAAATATGACGGTACCAAATTTAGCCATTTAGGAAAATCTCCAGAGCGCTGTAACTGCTCTCTGCCATGTTTTTATTGACACAATACAAACCCACGTTGCATGCTGTGCCTGTGTGCTTGCGTCTGGGAGACTGTTACTACTTTTGCTTGACGCTGGGCAAGTTTTACAATGCACAGTAATCAAACATGGTTTTAACGATAATCAAAATTTAAAATAGTAATGCTAATCGTATGGAATTTTCCGTTGAAACTGGTAACCAATTCATTGCTAGTACAAAGTAAAATAAAATAGAATAAAATAAACATATGTCACGGGCTGTATAAAATTGTCTCATGGGCCGGTAGGTTGAGACCCCTGTAACAGCACGTAAATGTGCTTGCTGAAATTTCTCTGGTTATCCATCAATCACTGTAACCGCTTAATCCCAACTGGGGTTGCGGGGGGGACTGGAGCCTAACCTGGGAACAATGGGCACAGGTGGGAACCAACCCAGGGCAGCTGCCAACACACCACAGGGCACACGCACACAACTACAGGGCCAAGTTAGACTTGCCAATCAACCTTCCCTGCACACTTTTGAACCATGGGGGGAAACTGGAGCCCCCGGCGGAAACTCACAGGGAGAGCGTGCAAACTCCACACAGAAAGGACCCAGGACCAAACCCAGCACCAGACCCAGGACCTTCTTGCTGTGAGGCAGCAGCGCTAATCGTGCACCACCGTGCCACCCTTCTCTGGTTATTTGACTGTTTTATTATTACAAAATATGGTTAATTAAATAAAACCAACCTTGTATGTCTGGATATTTGATCATGTACAACAAGCCCCAGTACAGTGTAGTAGATGTAGTCTCAGTTCCAGCCACGAACAGATCAAAGGTGCAGTAACACAGGTTCTCCTCATTAAAACCGGCATCAACATCATCTTTCCGCTGGAAGAAAAAAAAAACACACTTTGTTCTGTTGTCATGGGGAAAAGATGTCTTCCAGTCTTGAAACTGGAATTTTTCCACTGACATCGAATTCCATATGAATTTTTTCCTTTATTCTAGACTTTTCTAATTAAACTCTAATGAGCAAAAAGAGAATGTATTTCAACCTATTAAATGCTTACCCGTACTAAACACTGCTGATCCAAATCAAATCACGGGGAAATATGGAAATATGTACTCAATAAGTACATTACTGTATAATTGCCAGTCACAATTAACTGTCCAGTCTGATACCTTTTCCATCTCTGAAAGGAAGCTGTCAATATAGTCTCTAGGAGATGATGGGTCCCAGTCTTCCTGGTGCTCCTTAATTTTCAGCCGGATAAAAGAGATCAGAGTTTCACAGTGTGAAAATACTTTCTTGTGGGGACCAGGGATTTTCCTCATCAACCAGGGGAACATATTATACATCTAAAACAAAAAAAGAGTAATTTAGGTAATGTGTAGCGGGGGGTTACCTTCTCTGGAGACCTTATGCTGACATTGCTAGTTTAGTTCGAAGAAAAACTTGTTAAAATTTTATACAGTGGTACCTCAGAACTCGAATTTATTCCGTTCAGGACTCCGGATCGAATCCTAAAAAGTTCGAGTTGTGATCGAATTTTCCCCATAAGAAATAATGGAAAACCAATTAATTGGTTCCTGGCCCCAAAAAATTACACCTAAATATGTTTTTTTTAGCATTTAAACACAAAATGAACCGGATAAAACAAAAAGAGCATATACTGTTCTAAACACACCTAAGCACATTTATCAAAACAGTAATTTGTAAAGTAAGAAAATAAATGTATCCAAACAATGTGTCCTGCCCTGATCGTCCGCTCCTTCCGTATGCCACGCCCCCTCATTAACCCCAAGTGGAATCCCCTGGTGATCAGCGGTTTCTGGTTGTTGTCATTAGTCCTCTGTATTTCGTCCGCGTTTCAGTTTGTTTCCCCAGTCCGGTCATTGTATTGTCCGTCTGCGTTTTGCCTGCCTTACCTGTAATTAAACCCCATATTCCCCAATACCCTGACGTCTGCGCCTTTGTCTCCGTTCTGTCCAGCTCGGCACGACAATATTATTATAATTAAATGTATTAATGGTTTATTATTAATATTAAAATAAGAAATCTGTATTTTAAAATGCATTTTATTATATAACTACTGTTACTGTCTATTATTGTCTAAATGTATTTTTACTGTCTAAATATATGTATTCAGCTTGTATAAACATGCATGATGCTATCACAGCGAATGTGAGGCTGAGACTGAAGCCTTACCCTTTGTTTCCACTGAGAGACGTGCCGTGTCACTCATTTCCCCTCGCGTACAAGTTATCTTAGGTCGGCGTTCAAGGTTTGACTTCTGAGATTCAGATCGAGCTCTAGGTAATTTTTTTTCGAACTGGTTGGTTCAACTTTTAAGAAATTCAAGTTCTAATGAGTTCGAGAACTGAGGTACCACTGTACATCCCTGAATACTGGAGTTGAGAAATAGTGACAAACCTGAGCCCAAATGCTTCCTTCTAAATAGACAGTTTCATTGATCAGTTTCAGCAACATTTGGAAGTAGCTGTCATTGTAGTCAAAGCGATCCCCAAACACCAGGCAGCAGATGATGTTGGAGACGGCATTGTTCAAGATGAACTGAGGGTCAAATGGTTGGCCTAAGGGAAGGATTTTCATCAAGGTATATATGCAGTTCTGTGTCAATGGCTTGTATTTTATTGCATTTCAGATATTTTCTAATATAGCAAGCCGTGATGATTTTCAAATGAACAAACGGGAATATTTATATAGATTATACAAAGGGCTACATCTTACATGACTACAGTAGGTCACCATGGGACAAACATCTATGTTTGGGAAAGTTTGTACCTTGTGTATTGGCTATGACTTCATTCAGGAATGTGCTCTCCACCTGAATGGAGGGTTCAAGACTCTTTTTGCCCAGTCCAAAGTTCTTCAGGGTTGAGAGAGCAAACCTTCTTTGTTGTTTCCATAGGTAACCATTGGAGAAAACCAAACCTAAAACAAACATTTTCTCACTTTGAAAAAACCAAAAAAAAATCTGCTCATGTGAGCATAAATATGCTCAAAAAATATGGTTCCATGATTCAACACAAATGAAAACATTACATATCTAATGTTGTACAATGTACATTGTGGCAAACTAATGAGAAGAATATCAAACAGCTACAACAGTGGCAACAAGTATAACTGGTCCCCATCTTGTGGTGTAAAATAGAAATACAGATAGCTCGGTTTATGGGAGACTACTGATACAGCGATAAAATGAGGTTTAACAAAAATAGATAGCTAATGCTTGTTTCAGAGATGTTTAAGATCATCACAGTGGGTGACTAGCTTTATCACAAGAAATGCCGGACTGCATTTTAGTTTGTGAGAACAAAAGCATTGAATATACAGTTCAAACAATTTTCACTGATTATTATTTTAAAACTTACCCTGATTATGCATAATATCTTCAAATAGTTGCACCTTTGGGCGATCTACAAAGTTTTCCCCGTGGTGAACTAGGGCTTCTTTAATGAGTTTAAAACTGTTCACAACAACGACGTTTTGTCCCAAATGAAGGCTGAAAATGTTTCCATATTGCTTGGCAAACTGGGTTTATATTAAAAAAAAAAACAGTAACGTCAAACACATGATATAATACTGTTTCTGTCACATCCCCCTCCCCGACTTTAAAAACTGAACTTGCCTGTCAGCCCGTTCCTACCTCACCCGTTCCCGCTTTGCCCGTTCCTGCCTCACCCCTTCCCGCTTTGCCTGTTCCTGCCTCACCCGTTCTGTTCCTGTTCCTCATCTCTTGTGTTTGTGTAGGATTGACTCTCACGGCTACAGACTCTCCAGGTCTTGAGACCCCAACTCCAATTCCCGCCTAACGACTCCATTTCTGTCTGCCTGATTCCCTTAATATACCTCCCAGTCTCCCACATTTGGGTCTCCCGGCTTCTGTACCAGCTTGCCATAACAGTTTTGGGCAATGAATAATGGGGGAGACAAATAAATACAGGCATGCAGATGTTATCTGACCTATGAAAACCATTTTTATGGCTTATGGGCCAACTTACTCAGTGTCATTTTTATCTTAAATAGCTACAGGCTATAATCCAGCTTCTGTTGGTCTCTGTTACAGGAACATGGGACTTTGACCCACCAAAGTGAAGTTCCTCCTGCCACTATGTGGAGTTATGCAGCAAGCAATTCATTTTGCATTTCCTACTACTTTCTTACCTTGTTTTCACCATGTGCCTACTGTATATTCATTATGCGTTTATCCACATAAGTTAAATACACAAGATTACATTAAAGAGAAAAATGTTACATTATAAAAAGAGGTGGCAGAAGAGATATATAAAATAACCACCCTACCCTTTACAAGTCTGATTTAATGATACCTAGATGTTTGACAAAAAATTTTTTTCCTTTCTCCAGATCAAGCATTTAAAAGTATTATTAAAATAGCAGCCTCTCCCTACATCAATCCAAATGCAGTAACAAATGTTTAATATAGAGAAATTCAGATTCACTGATTTGCATTAATACACCAGCATAAAAGTGTACATCAGATACAATCTGGGATGAACTCGGGATGCATCGTTTCTAATATCTCTGCAACTGTAAAATTCAGTTAATACAGAGGCCTAATTATTAGTAGAGGCCCTGCACCTTTATTATTTAAAAATGTGACCAATAATTTTTGACCAATATTGATTTCCGCTCTCTAAACATTTTCTGTATTTATAATATACTTAATTGCCTAACCTCATATTCTGATCATATTGCATCGCATCTGATCATATTGCATTCTCATCATATTTCATCCCATTGTATCGCGTTGAATCCTATTGTGTTGAATCAAATCGCGTCGAATCGCACTGCATTGCAAAAGGAGTGAATCATACCGTATCATACTAGTACCATATTGGCCCAAATACAAGACCCCAGTTCTAAGAAGTTGGGAGCAGCGCAGCGACACAAGTGCTGTCCTGTCCTCCCAAAGTTCCAAGACCCGTACAACGCTCCCGGAAGCCGAGATTCCGATGTGACGTCATTTAAACATGGCGGCTTACGCATTCAACAGTGATTCTGTTTTATAAATATTTAAAAATATTTATTTTGTTAGATGTATTAATAGTTATAAATGTAATTGCACGTGGTCGATTTAGTGAATATCATATCATGACCGTAAACAGTATCCTAGCATGCAATATCAGATTTTTACCAGATTTGTTAATGTCTTTTGTTTGTTTGTAGTTTGTTTGCATATCGAAAAAAGAATATCGCTATGGATATACTGAAATATTATAAAGCTTTTAATGTGGTTTGACTAGTTCATGTTGTTTCTTGTTTGTTTGTCTCTCGGAAAAAAAGAATCTCACTCCAAATCTGCTAAAATATAAAGAAACAACACACAACAGCGTGCTCATGGAGGCAGCCATGTTTGTTCCGAGATACGTAGCTCGAACGGACGTGACGTCACGCACCTTGGAGTGATAATCGAAAGCACCATTACTTTTTACTGCCCCCTAATATGATCATCTCTTCAGGTGACACTTTCCATTTTCCTTGTTTCGGAGTGATGTCGACTACGGAACGCACCCCCCCCCCAAAGTAGCTCCATAAATTGCAAGGATGTACGTCAATCATCGTTATAGTTATTGTGCAGTTAAAGATCGTGTTTTTTTTATTTTGTGCACTTAGGATAAATGAAGTCAGTGATTGCCTTCATTTTTCATCTTCGAGTGTCCCCACCATTTTACTGTTATCCATCCCCTGGAAATAATCCAGACCTATAAGCTAAACTTGCCCTTCCACCTACGCGAAAGAAAAGATGAATTATTTTACACCATTATACTGACGTTTAAATACACTTGTAAACTGTACAATAAGTTACTGTTGCCAACAATCGGAAGTTTCATTTTTCGGCAGAGCTAGAAAATCTGATTCAACTAAATATACGATTAAAAATAATTAAAGTACTAAGGATTTTTAAAAACATATAGGGATAGTCAGTACTGAACGACTTACCTCCGCAAACTGGAGGTGGATTTTTGATGAATCAATGCGACATAAGTCGCCGATCAAAGGTAACGACCAGGGTCCAGGGGGAAAGTTTTTAGGAGCTTTCTGTTGTATTAAGACGCCCAGTATTAAAAACAAAGCGAGAAACGTTAAAACACTTCTGAGACCGAGCCATTCAAAAAACCAGAGCACAGAGGCTGCGGTCATTGCTTATGGAAGAAATCGGGCTGCAGGCGAAGAAAACACTTAAAGATACTGAAAAACAAGCTTTGTGTTGATCCTGTCATTTGACAATATTAAACGGATGTATTGCCGCCACCTGCTGTAGTGCAATGCACACTGCTTCTGATCGCTAAAAGAAAAGGCTGAAGTGTAATAGCAGTCATACCTAGTGATTCTTTTTGTCAGATCGTCCCTTTATAGTAGAGATCAACACTACTGCAATGCAGTCAAGGATAGTCATGTGTCCTGGCACCACAAATAATACAGGACTGCTTAAGAATTACAGAAAATGCCGTGTACGACTGTTTAATGCCATTCAAATAAACTTGCAACCAATGTAAGTCGACAGTATCTCACTGTGTAGAAGAGGTGTATTACTATCTTATGCTGCCTGGGATTGCCCCCCAAGACCCTATTCAGGATAAATGACAGATATTTTTAAAGATTTTTCTAGTTAAATAACATAAGAATAAAAGGAAGATAGGGACTAAACATCAAATCCCAGTTATGCATTTTCATTCAATGAAATGGCAGTGATATTTTTTTTCATAATAAAGGTTATATCCACAAACATATTTTCATATAACCTACGTTAGGTGTCTTTGTTAGTATTTGTAGTTCTGCATCTGATTAAACTTTGCACCCTAGGATCAATAAATTCCAAGCTCTGTACAACTTTCCTTATTACTTAGCAGATATGAAGTGTTTTGTTGTGTTTGCAGGGCATATACAATCCCACACATTCGCATTAGAGAGTTCTGCACGTTGACTGATTTTTATGGAATTTCCACAGTCATTTCTTAAGTGATCAAAACCTTTTTAAATGTAAAGAAGAGCATAACGTCATTTTTTCCTCATAGCTAAGCCATGACAGGATTATTATTTCTGCATGTGAAGTTTTTTTTTTGAGTCTCCAGATGTTATTAATGTAGTAGAGTGCTTGATTGATGGCATCTTCTACAGACCTGGTAGGGCAATATGCAAATTGTGGTGTATCCAGTAGTTAGGAAGTGCAGGGCAAGAGGTGAGACAGAACAATGTGCTCAAGTGCTTTCATAACCACTGGTGTTAGGACAACGGGCCGTTGTCATTAAGGCAGCTGGGATTGGAGGATTTTGCTACAAGATTATGGTGACAATTTAAAGGGATTGTGGTGCTTTGCCTGGCGAAGATATTGATTAAAGATGACTGTATACCCAGGGGCCATATGATGTAGTATGGTAGGCTTTAGTGAGCTAATTTAGTAATAATATTTGTTTGTCTGACATGAAAAACTGAATACAAAAATTTGGTAGCATTATAACTTTACAGTCAGTGCCCAAATAATAGGAGCTGTGAAGGGAAGCCATTTGGTCTGTCGCCTAAGGTGCCAAAATGATGCCCATTAACCTTGTTTGAGGAGTTCCGGTTAAACCCTGAACCTGCTTTCTGGAATGCCTTCCATGTTTTCATTCACTGAAACATTATTTTGATTGTGGGAGTGTCCGATTTCTTCTTTAGTTAAAATGTAGATGCTGGTGTCCATACCACCAGGGGACAAACAATTAGATATTGTGACACCAGCACAAAACTGAAACTGTTTATATATTTTCTACTAATAGCAGGCCATTTTTATTGTATTTTCAAGATAACTTGCAGGCTATTTGAAACATACACTGTATGGACAAAAGTACTGGGACACCTGGCCATTACATCTGCAGGAACTTTTATGGCCTCCCCCCTCTGCAGCTATAACAGCTGCCACTCTTCTGGGAAGGCTTTCCACACGACTTTGGAGTGTGTCTGTGGGAGTTTTTGCCCATTCATCCAAAAGAGCATTTGTGAGGTCAGGCACTGATGTTGGATGTGAAGGCCTGGCTCGCAATCTCCATTCCAGTTCATCCCAAAGGTGTTTGATGGGGTTGAGGTCAGGGCTCTGTGCAGGCCAGTCAATCATGTCTTTATGGACCTTACTTTGTGCAGTGGGGCAAAGTCATGCTGGAACAGAAAAGGGCCTTCCCTAACCCTGTTCCCACAAGGTTGGAAGCATAGAGTTGTCATGGACTGCTGAAGCATTAAGAGTTTCCTTCATTGGAACTAAGGAGCCGTGCCCAACCCCTGAAAGACAACCCCATACCATTATCCCCCCTCCAGTAAACTTTACAGTTGGCGCAATACACTCAGGCAGGTAATGTTCTCCTGGCATCTGCCAAACCCAGACTTGTCCAACTGCCAGAGACAGAAGCGGGATTTGTCACTTCACAGAACACATTTCCACTGCTCCAGAGTTCAGTGGCAGTGTGCTTTATACCATCCATCCAAAACTTGGCATTATAATTTGTGCTGTGAGGCTTGCATGCAGCTGTGAGGCCATGGAAGCCCATTTAATGAGGCTCCCAGTGCAGTTTTTGTGGTGGGGTTAATGCCAGAGTATGTTTGGAACTCTGCAGATACTGAATCAACAGTGTTGGCAACTTCTACACACTATGCACCTCCGTACTCAGTGACCCCGTTCTGTTACTTTACATGGTCTGCCACTTCATGGCTGAGTTTCTGTTGTTCCTAAATGCTACCACTTACAGTTGACCACGCAATATCTATCAGAGATTTCATGAACTGAGTTATTGCAAAGGTGGCATCCTATGACAGTTCCACACTTGAATTGACTGAGCTCTTCAGAACAGCCCATTCTTTCAGAAATGTTTGTAAACCTGACTGCATGGCTAGGTGCTTGATTTTATACACCTTATTAATAGGCATGTCCCAATACCTTTGTCTATATGGTGTTGGCTCATTGACACCCCTGGCATAAATTTTAGTACCAGTCATATCTGTTTGGTGACATGATCAGTGCAACACAGTCAAGGATAACCATGTGTTCTGGCACCACAAATCATGCAGACTTAGGGAAAATGCCATGTAAGGCAGTTTGATGCCATTCAAATAAACATACAACTAATGTAAGTTGACAGAATCTCACTTTGCAGAATGATTTGGTTACTAGAATTCAGGGAGTATCCTTATCTTGTACTATTTCAGTGCCTTTAATGCAGAATTCTTGTTCTTTGCATCTGATAAATCTTTGCACCCTGAAAGGTACAATCAATAAGTTCCAAGCTTTCTGTAACTTTTTTTTTTAATTATCAGATAGGAAGATGGGAAGTGTTTTGTTACATTTGCAGGGCATAAACGATCCCAAAATTCATATCAGACACTTCTGGACATTGGCAGAATATCCTCAGTAATTTCTTAAGCGATAAGAACCTTTTTAAATGTGAAGAGCATGACATGTCTTTATCTCATAGATATTAAGGTTTTGAATATCCATCCATCCATCCATCCATCTACCTTCCAACCAATCACATATCCAGTATAGGGTAATTTGGGGGGGGGGGACTTGGAACCGAGAAAGTACAGGGCAGGAGGCGGGAGATTCCCTATATAGGATGCCAGTCCATTACAGGGCACACACACACACACACACACACACAATCACGCTATCAGCTGTTCTCAGAATCAACGAATACATAAATGAGTAAACTTTAACTGTCAGTGACTTATTTCTGACAGATAACTCAGCGGGGGGTAGCACACAGCTTGTAGGGTTTGGGGCTGTGGGTGCCCCCCAATTTGAACTCTAGACTGGGCTCCATGCCTGGGGGTGGAGAGAGGGTGAAGCGCTGGAGAAGGGAGGTGAAGAACAGGAAGAGCTCCATCCGGGCCAGCTGCTCCCCCAGACACACTCTCTTCCCTGTGGAAAAACATTGTTTAAATTCTAAAAACAACACTTTCATGTATTTACGATAATCCTAT